AATGAAAACTCGATAGGAGGCGGGATGGGAGAGAGGAGGACCGTGGGAGGGAGGGAGGTTGGGGGGGGGCCACAATACAAAAGTTGTACTTTGTAAATTCATATGTATTACATAATAATAAAAAAAGTAAAAAAGATAATTGAAAATGAATCTTGATGTGAATGGAATGGGAGAGGGAGCGGGAGATGGGAGGGGTGCGGGTGGGAGGGAAGTTACGGAGGGGAAAAAGCCATTGTAATCCACAAACTGTACTTTGGAAATTTACATCTACTAAATAAAAGTTAAAATAAAAAATAAAATGGTTTATTTATGTACTTATTTGAAAGACACAGTGATGGGATGGGGGAGGGGGAGGGTGGAGAAAGGTGTCTTCCTTATACTGGTTCATTACTGCAACAACTGGGGCTGGACCAGGCTAAACCAGGTGTTTGGAACCCCATTCAGGTCTCTTATGTTGGTGGCAAGAACTCAAGTATTTGAGCCAACATACATTGTTTTCCCAGATGCATTGGGAAGCTGAATGAAAATGGAATAGCCAGGACTCAAACTGTACTATATGGGCTGGCACTGTGGCATGGTGGGTTGGAGTCCCAGCTGCTCTACTTCTGATCCAGCTCCCAGTTAATGTTCCTGGGAAAAGCAACAGAAGATGACCCATGCTACCCACATGGGAGATCGAGATGAAGTTCCTGGCTTTCAGATGGCCCCCTGGCCCACCTTTGGCCATTGCAGCCATCTGGGGAGTGAACCAGTAAATGGAAGATATTCTCTCTCTCTCTCTCTCTAACTCTGCCTTTCAAATAAATAAATAAATCTTTAAAAAAAAAAAAAGTACTGTGACATGGATGCTGGCATCCCAAGCAGTGGCTTAACCTACTATGCCACAATGCCCACCCCAGTAATATTGAACACTGTTTCATATGCCTGCTGGTCACTCATATAACTTTTACTTTGAGAAATATTTATTTAGATCTACTGATCATTTTTAATTTGATTAATTTGAGCTATTGAGTTGTTTGAGTTTCTCATATATTCTTGCTATTAGCTATCAGATGAATAACTTGCAAATATTTTCTGTTATTTGGAGTAGGAAACTATTTGCTGAATTGATTGTTTCTTTTTCTGTGCAGAAGCTCTTTGATTTGATGAAATTCAATTTGTCTGCCCTAAACAGCACTCTGGACTCAGAATCAGCCCTTAAGGCATTTGGATCTGGCTGAAAAGCCCATAAGAGTTTCTCAGGCATGGAAAGCAAAGACACTGGCAAAAAATGACCTAAATGAAAGATCTCTGTGAGTGAGATCCTAGTGGAAAGAACAGGCCATCAAAGAAGGAGGTACCTTTCTCTGAAGGAAGGAGAGAACTTCCACATTGATTACGGCCTTGTCTAAATAAGATCGGTGTTTTTGAACTCAAGAGGCTTCCATAGCTTTGGCAGCTCATGACAAGAGCCTTAGGTGATCACTGACATCATAAATAAGAGTGTCAATTGTTAAATCCACAACAGGAGTCACTGTGCACTTACTCCCCATGTAAGATCTCTATCCTTAATGTATCGTACTATGTGAATTAATAGTAAAACTAGTTTTCAAAGAGTACTTTATACTTTGTGTGTCTGTGCAGGTGCAATCTATTGAAATCTTTATTTAGTGTATACTAAGTATATACTAAGTTGATCTTCTGTATATAAAGATAATTAAAAGTGAATCATGATGAAGAATGGGATGAGAGAGGGAGTAGAAGATGGGATGGTTTGCGGGTGGGAGGGAGGTTATGGGGGGAAAAACAGCTATAATACAAAAGTTGTACTTTTGAAATTTATATTTATTAAATAAAAATTTTCTTTAAAAAAAGAAATTTTTTTAACTTTTATTTAATGAATATAAATTTCCAAAGTACAGCTTATGGATTACAATGGCTCCCCCCCATAACTTCCCTCCCACCGGCAACCCTCCCCTTTCCCATTCCCTCCCCCCTTCCATTCACATCAAGATTCATTTTCAATTCTCTTTATATACAGAAGATCAGTTCAGCATATATTAAGTAAAGATTTCAACAGTTTGCACCCACATAGAAACACAAAGTGAAAAATACTGTTTGAGTACTAGTTACAGAATTAAATCTCAATGTACAGCACATTAAGGACAGAGATCCTACATGAGGAGTAAGTGCACAGTGACTCCTGTTGTTGACTTAACAAATTGCCACTCTTGTTTATGGCATCAGTAATCACCCTAGGCTCTAGTCATGAATTGCCAAGGCTATGGAAGCCTTTTGAGTTTGCTGACTCTGATCATATTTAGACAAGGTCATAGTCAAAGTGGAAGTTCTCTCCTCCCTTCAGAAAAAGGCACCTCCTTCTTTGATGACCTGTTCTTTCCACTGGGATCTCACTCACGGAGATCTTTCATTTAGGTGTTTTTTTTTTTTCCAGAGTGTCTTGGCTTTCCATGCCTAAAATACTCTCATGGGCTTTTCAGCCAGATCCAAATGCCTTAAGGGCTGCTTCTGAGGCCAGAGTGCTGTTTAGGACATCTGCCATTCTATGGGTCTGCTGTGTATCTCGCTTATCATGTTGGATCGTTCTCTCCCTTTTTTATTCTATCAGCTAGTATTTGCAGACACTAGTCTTGTTTATGTGATCCCTTTGGTTCTTAGTCCTATCATTATGATCAATTGCGAACAAAAATTGATCACTTGGACTAGTGAGATGGCATTCGTACATGCCACCTTGATGGGATTGTATTGGAATCCCCTGGCACATTTCTAACTCTACCATTTGGGGTAAGTCAGCTTGAGCATGTCCCGAATTGCACATCTCTTCCCTCTCTTATTCCCACTCTTATATTTAACAGCAATCACTTTTCAGTTAAGTTTCAATACTTAAGAATAACTGTGTATTGATTACAGTATTCAACCAAAAGTATTAAGTAGAACAAACAAAAAAAAATACTAAGAGAGATAACGTATTAAGTTGTTCATCAACAGTCAGGGTGAGGGCTGATCAAGTCACCGTTTCTCATAGTGTTCATTTCACTTTAACAGGTTTCCTTTTTGGTGCTCAGTTAGTTGTTACCGATCAGGGAGAACATATGATATTTGTCCCTTTGGGACTGGCTTATTTCACTCAGCATAATGTTTTCCAAATTCCTAACAGGGATCACTTTTCAGTTAAAATTTAAACACCTAAGAATAATTGTGTGTTAATTACAGAGTTCAACCAATAGTACTAGAACAAAAAAAATACTAAAATGGATAAAGTATTACACTGTACATCAACAGTCAGGACAAGAGCTGATTAAGTCACTGTTTTTCATAGTGTCCATTTCACTTCAACAAGTTTCCCCTTTGGTGCTCAGTTAGTTGTCGCCGATCAGGGAGAACATATGATATTTGTCCCTTTGGGACTGGCTTAATTCACTCAGCATGATGTTTTCCAAATTCCTCCATCTTGTTGCAAATGTCCGGGTTTCATTGTTTTTGACTGCTGTATAGTATTCTATAGAGTACATGTCCCATAATTTCTTTATCCAGTCTACTGTTGATGGGCATTTGGGTTGGTTCCAGGTCTTAGCTATTGTGAATTGAGCTGCAATAAACATTAAGGTGCAGACAGCTTGTTTGTTTGCCACTTTCATTTCCTTTGGGTAAATTCCAAGGAGTGGGATGGCTGGGTTGAATGGTAGGGTTATATTCAGGTTTCTGAGGAATCTCCAGACTGATTTCCATAGTGGCTTAACCAGTTTGCATTCCCACCAACAGTGGGTTAGTGTCCCTTTTTCCCCACATCCTCTCCAGCATCTGTTGTTGGTAGATTTCTGAATGTGAGCCATTCTAACCGGGGTGAGATGAAATCTCATTGTGGTTTTGATTGCATTTCCCTGATTGCTAGTGATCTTGAACATTTTTTCATGTGTCTGTTGGCCATTTGGATTTCCTCTTTTGAAAAATGTCTATTGAGGTCCTTGGCCCATCTCTTAAGTGGGTTGTTTGTTTTGATGTTGTGGAGTTTCTTGATTTCTTTGTAGATTCTAGTTATCAACCCTTTATCTGTTGCATAGTTTGCAAATATTTTTTCCCATTCTGTCGGTTGCCTCTTCACTTTCCTGACTGTTTCTTTTGAAGTACAGGAACTTCTCAATAAAAAAATAAAGAAATTTAATTGTCTATTCTTGCTTTTGAATTCTGTGCTTTTCCAATCCGATTTAAAAAAAAAATTGCTCATGTCAATGTTCTGAAGCATTTCCTGTATATTTTCTTCTGGTAATTTCAAGCCTTGCATTTAGGTCCTAAATCTATTTTGAGATTATTTTGGTACATGATTAGAAGTAGGGGTTTAATTTCTTCTGCATGTATCTATTACATTTTCCTGGCACTGCTTATTATAAACACTCTCCTTTATTTAACAAATGTTTTCTTAATATCTTTCTCAAAGATCAGTTGGTTTTGATGTGTGAGTTTACTTTCGGGGTCTCTATTCTGTTCCATTGGTCTATGTATTTATTTTATGATAATACTCATATTTTAAAGTTGGGTAGTGTAATACATCTTGCTTTTTTTCTTTTTGCTTGAGATTTCTTTGGTTATCTGAGGGTCCTTTGTGGTTCCATAAAAATTTTAGTAATGTGTTGTCTAGGGCTTTAAACATGTTATTGTTATTCTTGTAGGGTTTGCATTGAATTGGTAAATCATTTGGGTAATATGAACATTTTAATGATACTGATTCTTATTTTTTTAAAGATTTATTTTATTTATTTGAAATACAGAGTTACAGAGAGAGATAGAGACAGAGAGAGAGGTCTTCCACTCACTGGTTCACTCCCCAGATAGCCGCAATGACCAGAGCTGCACTGATCCAAAGCCAGGAGCCAGGAGCTTCCTCTGGGTCTCCCACGTGGGTGCAGGGGCCCAAGGACTTGGGCCATCTTCTACTGGT